GTCCCGTGCCAGCGGGGCCGGCCAGGGGCACCGCTGCCCAGCTGGGGTGGCAGGGGCAGGACGGGGGGCCTGCTCCTTGGGGCGGCCTGGCTGGACACAGTGTTGGAGGGGAATGCCCAGCGCAGCTCTGCCCGGGCTCCCAGCCCTCTCCCAGGAGCAGCTGCTGCGGGGACGGAAGCGGCCCATCACATTGCTGTGCTGAGAACCGCTGGCAGCGGGGCCCAGTGGCCTCAGGCTGCGCCCGTGTGATGCCTTCTGAGCTGAGACCAGGGGCTAAGCCAGCGGCAGATCTCAGCCAGGCCCCTCCCTGCCCCCTGTGGGGCTTTGCTCTGTGCTGGAGGGGGCTAGCGGGGGATACCCCCGTCCCTGGGAGCCCAGAGGGATGCATCCCAGCCCCACTGGTGCTGAGCTCCACGTCGTTCCTCTCCCTGATGGGTAGGGGGCATGTCCCATCCGCACTGGGGCAGCGGTGCCCCAGACCGCTGGGGCTCAGCCCAATCCTGCTGACTCCCCACAGCTGTTCTTCGGCGGCGTGATCAGTCAGAAGAATCGGAGCCTGGTCTATCGACAGAACTTCCGGGGATGCATGGAGAACATCTTCTTCAACTGGGTCAACATCGCCGACCTGGCTCGCAGGAGAGCGCCCAACATCCACTTTGAGGTGTGGGGCGCGGGCAGCCCGGGAGCGGTGGGAAAGCTCAGGGAAAGGGTTGGGGGCCCTGGGGAGTGCACATGGGGTCCTTTTGGCCTTGGCAGATGCTGTCCCAGGCACTCTGTGAGGCAGGCATCTCTGGCTGCCAGGATGAAGCTCAGTGACCCGAGCCCAGCCATGGGGCTAGGATTGCAGCTGGCCATGGGCCAGGAACTGGTTGCTCCAGCCCTCACTCATCCATCCCAGATCGATAGCGTGAGGTCGTTCTGGGCCTGGGGCCACCGGCTGCTGTCACCAGGCGACGGGTGCAAGCTCAGAGTGGGGGCCTCGGCTGCGGCAGCCTCATGGGTTCGGCTCTGGTGGCTACAGGCTCGAGTTCAGCAGACCTCTCGCTGCCTGGTTTGGATCTAGAGCTCATAGGAACACATGAAACCAGAGGCAAGTAACAGCCAATCACAGGAACAAGGTCCACTATCTCTTATCAGTGTAATGAAAGTTACTATCACAGTTAGGAGTCTCGCAGCTCGGTCTATCCCGGCACCAGTGATAGCTACAGGCAGAGTCACATCCTCCCAGACAGTGTTCGGGGGTAGAGGGATGGTCTCTGCTGGATCCTCCCAGAGGAAGCTCAATTTTCCCACTCTGGGCACCCCCCTTTTGTAATGTGATTCTGCCTATACCTTCATGGACATGCGCAGAATGTAAGTGTCACCCCTCTTTTTCCTTATCAGTCTGGTGTCCCCATGACACTTAAGACCCCCGATTTCCATAGGTCGTGTAGGTCTCTTTATTCTCATTAGCACTGACACACAGCCTGCATTCTGTGGTTAAGAACTAAGAACACCCAGACTGGGTCAGACCAAAGGTCCATCTAGCCCAGTGTCCTGTCTGCCAGGTGCCCCAGAGGGAGAGAACAGAACAGGGAATCATCAAGTGATCCATCGCCTGTTGCCCATTCCCAGCTTCTGGCAAACAGAACGTGTTAAGACACGTTAGAGACAGATGTGTCTCTACTGCATGTCACAGAGTCCCCGGGCGATGCTCTGGAACTGCTCCCCATGAAGCCAGGCAGGACTCTGGGGAAGTCTCCTTTCTGGGAGCAGCCTGTCTGCAGGACACACAGCTCACCCGGCTTCCCCCTTCCTGGGCCTGACCTCAGAGCCTTCAGCATCCTCTGCCCCTCCGTGCGCTTCCCACAGCGAGTCCGCTCATGCGGGGCTCCTGGGGAAGCCAGAGGGTCCTGCCCCCCAACTCCGCAGTCAGACGGGACTCTCAGCCAGCCAGTAAAACAGAGGGTTTATTAGATGACAGGAACATGGTCTAACACAGAGCTTGTAGGTGAAGAGAACAGGACCCCCCTGCTGGGGCCATTTTGGGGGGCAGTGAGCTAGACAACCACATCTGCACTTCACACCACGTCCCCAGCCAGCCCCAAACTGAAACTCTCTCCAGCCCCCCCTGCTCTGGGCTTTGTCCCTTTCCCGGGCCAGGAGGTCACCTGACTCCTTTGTTCTCCAACCCTTTAGCTCTCACCTTGCAGGGGGGAAGGGCCCAGGCCATCAGTGGCCAGGAAACAGGGTGTCGGCCATTGTCTGTGTCCAGACCCCTGCACACACCTGCCCTCTAGGGCTCTGCAAGGATCATACACCCTTACCCCACCCCCTAGAGACTTAAGAACTGCCTAGGGGAAACTGAGGCACCCCCACACTATTCAGAGGAAACATTAAGAACAGTCCCACTTCATTACAACCACACAAATGAATAATCAACTAAAATCACTGGCTACACTCAGGAGATGGGCCCCAGACTGAAATGCTCCCCAGCGGCCCTGGCGGGAGGGTCTGCCAGGCAGCCCAGCAGTAGGGATGTGCCCCAATTCCTGCTCTGCCACCCCTGCCCCTCCTGCCCCCTCGTGTTGCCCAGGTGTGATGGAGATCAGAGGGCAGCCAGAGGCCGAGTGGCTCTTGGGAACCAGCCCAATGTAGCTGCAGGTCATTTGCTGCCTGGTCATCTGGGTGTTTACAGGATTCTCCACAATCCTCCCGATGCCCCAAATCCAAGACGGGCCAAGGGGGCAGCGGTGCCCCCTGGGGAAGGGGGTATTGCATGTGGGCCCAAGGGAGGCCTCCTGCCTGACCCCGCAGTGCCCTGGCCTTGGACCCCTCGGACCCTGCCCTGGGCCATGGGCTTCCCAGTTGTGTGGGAGTCGATGCTGTCACCCTGGCAACCCCATGCACAGCTCGGTGCCCTAGACAGCACCAACCCCTCAGCGGGAGGTTCGAAGGGTTCCTCTCGGCGCCCGGCCTGGAGCTGGCAGCAGCCTGCTCAGGCCAGGGCTGCCCCGGGAGCATCACCTCCCGCCCATCAGCCAGGGGAGCCTCTGCCACAACCCCGCCTCCCCCACCCCACCCCACCCCACAAGTGCAGCTCCCTGGCTAAGGCTCTGGGATGGAGAGACCCAGCTGGTCCCCTGCCCACCAGCTGGGGGCATTAGCGACTGGCTCAGGCTAATGAGGCTCCAGGCCCAGCTGTGATCCCTGAGAGCCCCAGGGCAGGGCCCACATGAATGGGCCTGGGCTGTAACTGCCCCACTCCCGCCCCGGACAGCAAGAGGGGAAGCAGCAGTGCCAGGGGCCTGGGCGCTCACCAGCTCTCGTGTGGTTATTCCCAGGGCCACGTCAGCCACTACTGCCAGGACCAGCCCTACATGCCCATCACCTTCGCTGGCATCAACAACTACCTGCAGGTGCCAGGCATCCCGCGCCGGAACCGCCTATCCGTCAGCTTCAAGTTCCGCTCCTGGGACACGGTGGGGCTGCTGCTCTACACCAGCTTCGCCGAGCAGCTGGGCTCCCTGGAGATGGTGCTGAGCAATGGCCAGGTCAACGTCTCCATTGCCCAGCCCGGCCGCAAGAAGCTGGAGTTCGCTGCAGGTTCTTAGCTTCCCAGGCTGGTCTGACCTGCTGCCCAGTGCAGCCCCTGGGACCCTCCCCCCTGCCCCCGTTAGCTCCCAGAGCAGAGCGTGAAGGAAAACAGCCAGGCTTGGGTTAGAAATGGCCAGTGCTAGAGAATCCTCCATGGCCCCGGTGCCTTGTTCCAACGGTTAATTACTCCCACGTTAACACTGCACACCCTTAAGTTTGTCTAGCCTCCACTTCCAGCCATGGCCCCGTGTCGGACCGTGCTCTGCTAGACTGAAGAGCCTGTTCCCAGATATCAGTTCCCATCTCGGCACTTACAGGCTGGGATCCCGTCCCCCCTTCCCCTTCTCTCGACCAAAGTGGGGCTGGGGGAGGAGGAGCTGGGGGGATGGCAGGGCCTGTCTCCCCATGGCCACTTGCTGGGGGTCTCAGGCCCCGGCGTTGAATCATCCTTCCAAGGGGGTGCAGGAGGTGATGGGAACCAGCAGCCTGTGGGCCCACGCGCACCCCCTCTCCCCTCATCCAGGGTATCGGCTGAATGACGGCTTCTGGCACATGGTGGAGCTGGTGGCGCGGGACGGCTCGGCCGTGATCACCATCGACGACAACGACGGGGCTGAGTTCCGGGTGGCCCACCCCTTCCAGCTGCGCACCGGGACCCAGTACTTCTTTGGAGGTGGGCAGCCCAGGCCAGGGGGGCAGCTGGGGGGGCAGGTGGCAGGCAGCACTCACCCCACCCCGCCCCTGTGTGTGTTCCAGGCTGCCCCAAACCTGCTGCCATCACCGGCTGCCTGTCGAACCAAACGGCCTTCCACGGCTGCCTGCAGACCCTCAGCGTCGATGCCCAGCCCGTGGAGCTGGACCTGCTGAGGCAGGAGCGGCTGGGAAAATACTCCAACGTGTTCTTCAACATGTGCAGCATCACCGACAGGTACGTGCCCGCCGGCCGGCCGGCCACACGGCTGCCTGACCCACGCCAGCAGCCGGGCTGCGTCTGCGCTGGGGGTTTGCCCCACTTCCAGCTACGGCTGCCCCAGAGCAAACCGTGGGGGAGTGGCATGGGCTTGTCCTTGGTGCCTAGGGCTGGGCCTGGAGGGAGCCGAGTTCGAGCCTCTGCCCCACCGCCAGCTTTCAGCCACCCCGTTCTGCTTGGTTCAGCGTGAGCTGGTCGGGGCAGGACTTGTGTCTGCGCAGTGCCCGGCCTGACGGGGGGCCGCGGTCTCAGCCGCCATCCGTGCAGCGCTGCGGCCATTGATAACAGCTCTAAGCACAATTTGCCCTTGGGGCAGAGCCATCCTCTGAGAGATGGCATCCTTGAGGCAGGGTCTGGCTCTGCTGGGGCAGAGGACGGGTTTGCCTGGGCAGCTCTGCCGATGGCTGCACACCCTGTTCTCCCCGGTGTCCATGCACCCGGCCATCCTCAGCTGCATCTGTCCCCACCAGGTGCACCCCCAACCTGTGTGAGCACGGCGGCCGCTGCCTGCAGTCCTGGGATGACTTCACCTGCGTCTGCGACCTGACAGGATACAAGGGAGAGACCTGTCACAAATGTGAGCTCCGGCCCAGCCAGGGGGACGGGAGGGCTGAGGGTGGGTTCCTGGCCCCAGCTCAACCCAGCCCCCTGCTTTGCCTGTTCCAGCCCTTTACAAAGAGTCGTGTGACGCCTATCGGCTCAGTGGAAAAACGTCTGGGAACTTCACCATCGACCCTGACGGCAGTGGGCCCCTCAAACCCTTCACCGTCTACTGCGACATCCGAGGTAGCCGGGTGGGGAAGGAGAGATGCCAAAGACTCTGGCAGGGCCTGGGAAATGGGGCCTTTCCCATCTAGGGGGCGCTGACTCTGACCCAGCCCCAGGGTGGGGGCCTGGCTGGCTCAGGGGGGCAGGGAATGGGACATGGGTTCTTTCCCCTCTAGGGGGCGCCAGCTCCCATCTGGCCCCAGGACAGTGGGATGGGCTGGCTCAGGGGGCAGGGACTGGGGCACGGGGCCTTTCCCCTGTAGAGGGTGCCAGCTCTGACCCAGCCCCAGGCAGTGGAGACCACATGCAGCACCTATGTGGTGGGGTCTCAGCCCAGTTCCTGGAGGGCCGGTGACGGTGTCCATTCCAGAACCAGGCCCGAGAGTGACTGCCCCCTGCCTGCAGAGGGGCCCTCGGGGCGGCCAGGGCTGAGGCCCATTGGTAAGGAAGGGGGTTGGACCTTGTCATGGTGCCCCCATTTCCCCCTGCCCTCTAGTGATGCAGGAGAGAGCCAGAGGGAGGGGCTGGGGTAGAGGGGCCAGGGGCTCCCAGGCTGTTCCCTCGCTGACTCTGTCCTTTCTCCCCGCGCGTTGCCCCCAGAGGATCGGGCCTGGACAATTGTCCGGCACAACCGGCACTACGCCACGCGGGTGAGGGGCTCCAGTCTGGACCGGCCCTTCCTGGGCGTGGTGGAGTACTGGAACGCCTCGTGGGCGGAGGTGGAGGCCCTGGCCAATGGCTCCGAATACTGTGAACAGCACCTGGAATTCTCCTGCTACAGCTCCCGCCTGCTCAACACGCCCTGTGAGTGCCACGGGGTGCTGCCCTGCCCCTGGCGGGGAGGGAAATGGGGGCTGCTGCCCGGCCCCTGGCAATGGGGGCTGGGGGGGCTCTGCCCCACCTCTGGGAGTGGGGAGTAATTTGGGGGTGCTGCCCTGCCCCTGACAGAGGGGAGTGGGGGGCTGTCACGGAGTCCCTGGGCGATGCTCTGGAACTGCTCCCCATGAAGCCAGTCAGGACTCTGGGGCAGTCGCCTTTCTCTGAGCAGCCTGTCTTCAGGACACACAGCTCACACAGCTTCCACCTTCCTGGGTCTGACCTCGGAGCATTCAGCATCCTCTGCCCCTCCGTGCGCTTCCCACAGCGAGTCCGCTCAGGCGGGGCTCCTGGGGAAGCCAGAGGGTCCTGCACCCCAACTTCGCAGTCAGACGTGACTCTCAGCCAGCCAGTAAAACAGAAGGTTTATTAGACGACAGGAACATGGTCTAACACAGAGCTTGCAGGTGCAGAGAACGGGACCCCTCAGCTGGGTCCATTTTGGGGGGTAGTGAGCCAGACAACCACGTCTGCACTTCACTCCATGTCCCAGCCAGCCCCAAACTGAAACTCCCTCCAGCCCCTCCTCCTCTGGGCTTTGTTCCTTTCCCGGGCCAGGTGGTCACCTGATTCCTTTGTTCTCGGACCCTTCAGCTCTCACCTTGCAGGGGGGGGAAGGGCCCAGGCCATCAGTTGCCAGGAAACAGGGTGTCGGCCATTCTCTGTGTCCAGACTCCTGCACACACATGCCCTCTAGAGCTCTGCAATGATCATACACCCTTACTCCACCCCCTAGATACTTAAGAACTGCCTGGGGGAAACTGAGGCACCCCCACACTATTCAGAGGAAACATTAAGAACAGTCCCACTTCGTCACATCTCTCCCCCCCTTCGAGATCGAACTGAGCGGGGTCACTTTAGCCGGTGACCTGGGGAAGTTCGAAGCCACCAACATTCCCATGGATGCCCCAGCATCTCTCCCATTCCTTGGTAGGAATTACATCAGGCCCTTCCAGTTTCACGCCCTCCCTTAGGTCAGGGGTGGTCGATAGCACTCGCAGGCCGCATGTGGGAAGGTTTATGCAGCCCATGCCCTTTGGCCACCCCAAGAATGTCTCCCCATTGACCATCACCTTCTGCTCCCACTGGAGGTCCGGGGGGCCTGGCCCCCGGAAACTCCACACAGACATATAGGCTGGGACCAGGAGTGGGAGCCTGTCCACATCCCCAACCATCTGGCTGACGGAGTCTAAGGCCTTGGGACCCAGCAAGGGAGCTAGACACCGGGGCTTTTCCGCAGGGTCCCCTTGGTTCAAATCGCCAGCCTGCTCAAAGGCAGTGAGGTGGGCATCCAAACCCCCCCCCTTAACCAGGGGCAGCAATTTAGTCTCGAGGTTCCCTGTGGAACTGGCCCCCCGGGATCTATCCCCACTCACCCCGGGGAGGTCCCCTAGGCCTCTCCGCCCCACCACCGCCAGTTCATGCTGCTGCTGCTTCTGCAGCTCTTTCTCGGGCTCTCGCTGTCTCTCACAGTCCTCTTGCTCTCTCAGACTCAGCTCCAATCCCGTCCGTCTCGATCCCCCGATGGGGAACCCGATCGTGAAGACCCCCGTCTGGTCGGGGACAGGAGTCTTGGCGATGCCTGGCTCCCGCTTCAGCTGCTCCCAGATCCTGCTATAGCCCCAGTTGGGGTCAGGAATCTGTTCCTTAGAGCGGTCATCCTCCTCCAGCTGCACGATTAACTCTGCTTTGGTGCACTTTCCAACGCTCAACCCTCTCTTTTTGCACAGGGTTACAATGTCCTTCTTAAGGAGACGGTGACAGGCCATCACTCCGCTCCTCCCAAGTTGTTGTGGACTCACAGGCCCGTGTGTTCTCAGCTCCCCACGGTTTCCAGGGAGAACCCCTAGTGTGCCAGCCCTTCTCGAGGTCACCACCTCTTTGCCAGGGTCGAGCTGCAGACTCCTCCGCCCCTTGGACTGCTCACTGCAATCCCCAGGGGAACCCTGCTACTGCACAGTCCTTCTCGCTGGTCACACACTCCCAGGGGTTAACCGCCCCCCGAAACCGCTCCTCTCTGAGCCTTCAGCAGGCCTAGTCCTCGGCAATCCCCCTTCGTGTTACTGCTCCCCAGTCACTTACTGCAGGAAGCACCATCCACGGGGTGCAGTACATCCCACCGCTGCCACCAGTTGTCACGGAGTCCCTGGGCGATGCTCTGGAACTGCTCCCCATGAAGCCAGTCAGGACTCTGGGGCAGTCGCCTTTCTCTGAGCAGCCTGTCTTCAGGACACACAGCTCACACAGCTTCCACCTTCCTGGGTCTGACCTCGGAGCATTCAGCATCCTCTGCCCCTCCGTGCGCTTCCCACAGCGAGTCCGCTCAGGCGGGGCTCCTGGGGAAGCCAGAGGGTCCTGCACCCCAACTTCGCAGTCAGACGTGACTCTCAGCCAGCCAGTAAAACAGAAGGTTTATTAGACGACAGGAACATGGTCTAACACAGAGCTTGCAGGTGCAGAGAACGGGACCCCTCAGCTGGGTCCATTTTGGGGGGTAGTGAGCCAGACAACCACGTCTGCACTTCACTCCATGTCCCAGCCAGCCCCAAACTGAAACTCCCTCCAGCCCCTCCTCCTCTGGGCTTTGTTCCTTTCCCGGGCCAGGTGGTCACCTGATTCCTTTGTTCTCGGACCCTTCAGCTCTCACCTTGCAGGGGGGGAAGGGCCCAGGCCATCAGTTGCCAGGAAACAGGGTGTCGGCCATTCTCTGTGTCCAGACTCCTGCACACACATGCCCTCTAGAGCTCTGCAATGATCATACACCCTTACTCCACCCCCTAGATACTTAAGAACTGCCTGGGGGAAACTGAGGCACCCCCACACTATTCAGAGGAAACATTAAGAACAGTCCCACTTCGTCACAGGGGCACTGCCCCACCCTGGCAATGGGAGATAATGGGGAGGTGCTGCCCTGCCCCTGGGAGTGCGGGGTGCTGGGGGGGCACTGGCCTGCCCCAGCAGTGGGGAGGGGAGGGTCATGGGGTGAATCTCATGGTCTCTGCACACCCACTCCGCACCTCCCGCCTGGGCAGGTGCAGCCTGGCCCCCTGGGCTGCTCTCTGTCCGGTTGCAGAGGTTGATGCTCCCCCAGGACGGAGCTCGCTCCCCCAGCCCCTTAGCCCAGCTCAGCCCTCCCCCCACCGGCAGGCTGCTCCCCCCTCCCCCCGCCTCACCCACGGCTCCGTCCCCTCCTCCAGCCGGGCTGCCTTTCAGCTTCTGGATGGGCCGCCACGACCAGCGCCATTACTACTGGGGGGGGCTCCCCGCCGGGCGTCCAGCACTGCGCCTGCGGCCTGGACAAGAACTGCGCCGACCCCAAGTACTTCTGCAACTGTGACGCCGACCACGCCCAGTGGTGAGCCCCTGGCGGGGCTGGAGCATGGGGTGGCTCTGAGGCACTCGTGGGGGCAGTACAGGGCGGAGGTGGGGTGCCTGGGGAGGGGGTGCCTGAGGTGATGGGTGCAGGGTGGGGGGGGGCCGGTGGAGTGGGGCGGTGCAGGGTGGCCAGCGGGCTGGGGGGTGAGTAGGCAGCGGTAGTGGGGGGCAACTGAGTGGGGGCGGAGCAGGCCGGGGCAGTGGGAGGCAGCCAGCTGGGGGTGGGGCAAGGGGGGGCGTGGAGCAGGGGGAGCAGTTGGGGGTGGACAGTGGGGGGCGGAGAGGCGGGGCAGTGGCAGGCAGCCAGCTGGGGGTGGGCAAGAGGGGCAGGGGTTATAGAGCAGGCTGGGGCAGTGGGGGGCGGAGCAGGGGGGGCAGCGGGATGCAGCCGGCTGGGGGTGGCAAAGGGGGGCAGGGGCGTGGAGCGGGGGGGGGGGGGGCTCCTGTCCCTCTCTGATCCCTGCTCCTTCGCCCCGGCTCCGGCTCCAGGAGGACGGACAAGGGGCTGCTGAACTTCGTGGACCACCTGCCCGTCACCCAGGTCGTGGTGGGAGACACCAACCGCTCCCAGTCCGAGGCCCAGTTCCTGCTGGGGCCTCTGCGCTGCCATGGAGACCGTGAGTGCCCGGCGGGGCGGGGGGCACGGCTGGGGCCCTCTGTCCTGCGGGGGAGGGGCTGGGCCCGGGTCACCCCCTTGCTGGCTCTGCGGGGCCCGGGTCTCACCCTGCCCTGGTCTCTTTCAGGGAACACCTGGAACACCGTCTCCTTCAACAAAGGCGCCTCCCTCCTCTTCCCCACCTTCCTGGCCAACCAGAGCCTGGACATTTCCTTCTACTTCCGAACCACCGCCCTGTCCGGGGTCTTCCTGGAGAACTGGGGCTGCAGGAATTACATCCGCATCGAGCTCAACAGTAGGGGCTGGGCGCGGGGCCGGGGATTCGCAGGCGAGATCTTCCAGAACTTGGCTGGAGTAGTGAGGGGGCTGTGGGTCGGGATTGAGGGGCACCAGCAGGGCTGTCAGAGGGTGACCGGGTGGGGTCCGGGGCTGGGATTGCAGGGGCTGTGGGTCGGGATTGTGGGGCACTGGCAGGACTGTCAGAGGGTGATGAGGTGGGTGGCGAAACTGGGATTGCAGGGGCTGCGGGTTGGGATTGAGGGGAACTGGTGGAGCCGTTGCAGGGTGACAAGCGGGGGCCAGGGCTGGGATTGCAGGGGCTTTGGGCAGGACTTCGGGGGGCCGGGAGCCCCCGAGAGCTGATCTCCCCTGCTTCCCCAGCCACCAGAGACGTGGTGTTCGCGTACGACATTGGGAATGGGGACGAGAACCTGACGGTGAGATCCCCCGTCCCCTTCAGCGATGACGAGTGGCACCAGGTGAAGGCCGAGATCAACGTGAAGCTGGCGCGGCTGCGAGTGGACAAGCTGCCCTGGGTGGTGCGGCTGGCCCCGCCCCAGAGCTACGTCCGGCTGGAGTTCGACAGGCCCCTCTACGTCGGTGAGCGAAGGGCAGAGCCTGGGGCCCCTTCCCCAGCCCAACAGCAAATACGGGATGCTCCAGCTCCTCTCCTTAGAGACCGGGGCTGCCCTGAACCCAGGAGTCCTGCAGCTGGCACGGCAGGTTTAGCGCCAGGCTAAGGGCCTCTCTGGGCTGCCCTGGCTGCATTGCTCCTTAGCCAACGGGTGGGGGTGTCCTGGCATTAAAGAGTGCTCTGCTCAGATCTGTAACCAGCCCCAGGCCAGGGCCCCATTAGTGTGCCAGGCCCTTGCCCCCCTTTCTGCAAGGGGGAGCCCTGCAGCTGCGAGAGGAGCCCTCAGGTTCCCCCACTGCCCAGCAGAGCCCCTCACCCCATCCGATCCCTCAGCCTCATCTCCCTGGAGCTCTGGCAACTTCCCTCAGTCATTGCCGGGTCTGTCTGAGAGCAGCAGCCCAGCCCAGCCCAGTCCCCCGCTTGCCCCTGGCCTGGGGAGATGGTGATTAGTATTTTTTCACTAGGAGGGTGGTGAAACACTGGAATGCGTTACCTAGGGAGGTGGTAGAATCTCCTTCCTTAGAGGTTTTTAAGGTCAGGCTTGACAAAGCCCTGGCTGGGATGATTTAACTGGGAATTGGTCCTGCTTCGAGCAGGGGGTTGGACTAGATGACCTTCAGGGGTCCCTTCCAACCCTGATATTCTATGATTCTATGACCCAGGGGGAGCGGTGCATCGCCAGAGGGGAACCAGAGTCACTGGGCTTTTCAGACAAGAATTCCCACCCAGCTTTCTGCACACCCTGGGCTCCTAACATCCCCCCATGAGTCCCCATGGACCTCCCTTCATTCCCCCCTAGGTTCTGTACCCCCTTTCCATGCCCCTCTGCAGCAAGGTCCCCCTTTCCCCCCCCCCAAGTCGGGGCCTCTGGGTGTCTCCTTTTTCTCTCCCCAAAGTACCTTGCTCCCCTCTGGTTTGGAAGCAACGAGCACAGGCTGGTGCCCCCGCATGGAGCGACTCTCAGTAGGCAGTGAGCAATGGGGCAGGGCCGGGCCTGGCCTCCCCTCCTGCCCGAGCACTGCCCTGGGGCCAGGGGATTGCTAGGGGTTAACCGTGTGGCACCCAGCTGTTTGTGGTTTTGTTTGATTTGATCCCCAGAGAGCTGCAAGGTGTGTGACCCTGCGGCTGTGCTAGGCAGCTGGCAGGGGCGCCATGCATCCCCCTGGGGCCCCCTTTTCCCAGAATCCCCCAGGTTCTGACTGTTCCAATGGAGAATGTTCCCTGGGCGTTGGGAACTGCTCAGATGCGGTGTTCAAACGTTACAACGGTACAGACAGAAACACAAGCCAGCCCCAGAGCCCACATTCCCCTCAGCACTTAGAATCTCAGGGTGGGAAGGGACCTCAGGAGTCATCTAGTCCAACCCCCTGTTCAAAGCAGGGCCAATCCCCAATTTTTGCCCCAGATCCCTAAATGGCCCCCTCAAGGATTGAACTCACAACCCTGGGTTTAGCAGGCCAATGCTCAAACCACTTCTTCAGTCTCAGAGCAGCACTGGCTAGTGGTGAGAGCGGGGGGTTGGGAGCCAGGACTCCTGGGTTCTCTGCCTAGCTCTGTTACTGACTCCCTCTGTGGTGCTGGGCATGTCCCTTTGTCTCTCCGTGCCTCAGTTTCCCCGTAAGGTGGGCACCGGGGCCTCTCCTGGGGGCCGGGGTGTTCCCTGGCTCTGAGCCCTGAGCAGGGATGCTAGCGAAGGGTAAAGGTCAATTTCCCTGGGGGAGTCGGTGCTTTGGGGCTCTGCCGATCCCCCCTTGGGGCCACTGAACCCGTGGCCTCGGGGTCGACCGTCCAACCCAGCCTGGCAGCACAGGGCCCACGGTGGGGGCAGCCGCGCCGCTGGCTCATCCCGGGCGTGACGCGCTCTGTCCCGCGGGCCAGGCTCGGCCGAGCACCGGCTGCGCCCCTTCCTGGGCTGCCTGCGGGCCCTGCGCGTGAACGGGCGGACGCTGAACCTGGAGGGCAAGGCCAACGAGACGGCGGGCGTGCGGGTGAACTGCACCGGCTACTGCCAGGACCCGCGGGTGCCCTGCCAGAACAGCGGGCTCTGCGTGGAGCGCTACAGTCACTACACCTGCAACTGCAGCCTCTCCGCCTTCGACGGGCCCTTCTGCAACCGCGGTGAGTCCCACCGCCCGCCCAGAGGCCGGGGTGAGGGGCAGGGCGTGCGGGGTCAGGGCTGCCTGCCCACAGGCCAGGCTGAGCGGAGCTGTGTCGAGGTTCCTGTAGCACAGGCCCAGAGGGCCAGCAGTGGGGCAGACTGTGCTCCCCGGGGTGATCCCTGGGGGCGTGGGGGGGCCCCAGGGGGATCCTGTATCCAAGGGTGCTGGGGCGCAAGGGGGGGGTTGTGGGGCACGTAGCTGCCCCCCACCTCAGGCCAGGCCCCCTCACTCCCTCCGTGCCCCCCACGCAGACATCGGCGCCTACTTCGAGCCGGGCACCTGGGTTCGCTACAACATCCTGCCGGCCGAGCTCTCGGCCGCCCGCGAGTTCGCCAGCATCGTGAGCCAGCCGCTGCCGGGCTACAACCTGACCAGCGAGGAGCTCAGCTTCAGCTTCCGCACCAGCACCGCGCCCGCCGTCCTGCTCTACGTCAGCTCCTTCCGCAGGGACTACCTGGCCGTGCTCATCCGGGAGGACGGTGAGAGCCCGGGGACCTCAGGCCGGAGCCAGGGTCCCCCCACACCCTGCCCGCTTGGGGCCGGAGCCAG